GTGGTGGTGGGGGGGGGTGATGGGGCTTAATTGCGAGCAACCCCCCTGTTCACATAATTTCAACATGGTCTGCCATTTTGGATTTTATCTCACCTCTACTTTTGAGTGTCCAGTAAATATTTCAACATAAAAAAGGTCATGTTGTACAAATACAAAGTTCATGTTTATTAACCCTTAGGCTGCTATGCACGGCATATGTCGTTTTGAAAAGTCAGGTTGTCAGTGCTATGCAGGGCATATGGTAAGAAATATAAAAAAAATGTTTTGATATATGCTTGCAGCAATAAACTGCTAAATTTCCTAAGATAACCCATGCTTGCCAATTTAACAATTACGAAAAGTTGCAAGTTTAAGTCATATTATACGATAATATCAGAAAAATAAACTCAAGTAAAGTAGGCCAAACTTTTCAGGATGTTACGTTGTAAATTGATAAATACCACGTAAGGGGAAACATAACGAAGAATTGCATCGTATTTAGTACTCTGGGGTTAAAATGTGGTTCTTTGGTTAAATTAATGCTGACCTACTCAATCTTGTCCGTAGGAATGTGTCCAAACGACATGGGTAAAGTGGCGAAGTTAGCAAGTTTGTGTACGGCAAAGAGTCAAGGTCACGTGATACTATTAACAGGCAGGAATTTACAAGGTGACAATCCATGTGAATTGAACCAATAATGATAAAAGTTTGAGTTTGAAAAATAAATATTAACGGGCTCAAAACAGCCAAATACATTCTGACATTTTCTTTACAATGGAGAATTGCTGATATCACAATTGTTTGGTGTATTTCATGTCACGAGAATTCGGCTGTTAGCAGTCCTCGTTGGACCTGTTTGAGTGACTGCCTTTAAGCATACACATTTGCAGACGATCAGAAAACTACTTGGAAAAGTGTATTTTATAACAAAACAAAACAAAACATTTATCTGTATATAAGATTTAATCTTTTCTGAAACCTATTGCTGTGAAAACAACATCGTTATATTCCAATTACCTGTTCTGCCCATGCTAGGTGACTGTCAGTGCATGCGCAGATCTCCCCGTATTCCAGGTGTCAGTCAACGCTAACATTATATTTGCCACATGCTTTCTTATCAATTCCATGTGTTGGCATGGCTACCTGAACAGCGTGTATGTATTTACACCTGGTCATTGTCTACCATTTTGATTGACAGGTGGAAATATATCAGTTGTAGCTTGGTCAATGATTTATCTGAAAATGATCATACAGAATGATGTGGTGACTTTCATGTCATTTTGACATATTTCTAGTTTGTTATAAGAATAATTTCCCATGGTTGCTTTATTATCCAATTGAGCAATACAGGCCCTCTGGGCCTCTTGTTTTATAAATTAAGAGTGTTCAGTCCCTGTAGGCAGATGGGCAGGGCCCAATAGAGGTAACATGCTGAAAAAATGTTTAAAACCTTCTTATCTGTATAAATGTATGAAATTAAACCGTATTAGGTCTTAAGTATTTTAGGGCAAACAGAAATCAACTTTGTATATTTAACAAAGGGTATGGTTCCCCCTTGGGGGCAGAGTAGTGGAGCCCAATAGTGGGAACATCAGGACCTAAGCCTGTATTAGTAGAGGGAGTTTAACCTAATTTGGTGGAGATCGAGCATCCTTGGGTAAAGAGGAATCAATTTTGTTTTACAAACATGTTGTGGTCCCCAGGGGGAAAAGTATCAAGAGAGAAAAAAGTGGTAAATCTTTAAAATATTTTGTCTTCTTTAAGAATGTGACAGAATTAATGTTGATGGATAATTTGATTTGGTAATCCTTAATTCACCTCATTAATGAACATAAAAATATTGATTTCATGATATTAACAGATTAGCAGTACACTCACTGTTAATTCACCGTTGTACAGAAATATTATTTCTGATTTGCAGATGAAGGAACAATCTAAGGAGGATGTGGTCGTCAGCGTGAAACAGAAAGGTAAATACATTTAACAATGACATTGCTTGCATTTACTGCAACAATGTGTAAATTAGTGAATAAAATATTCATTATTTTGCATCCAGATTTTTTTGTAGGCAGTTATTTTGGAAAATCATCAGCATATGACCTGTTTTGAGCTAATTTATTTTTTGGATTAATCTTGTTTGAACATATTTAGGTTAAATGACAACAAATAGTACTTAGAAAGCAGATCAATGGAAGCTGGACTTACTTCTTGAACCATGATACATGTATATATAACTCTCATATGTAAAATGTATTTAACAGGAGGGATAGGTTTTTACCAAGCACAGGCTTATTGCCAATGAAACAGTTTTCTGTACACCTGTATTTGGGTAGATTTAATGGTATAACAGAATGTAGATTATGAATTGTTATGTTTTTGTTTGAATTTGAATAATTGACATGTGTACTATGATATTGTCAGACGACTCAACAGCCGACGAAACTGACCAGTCAAACGTGGTAGATGACCATCACTCTTTGGTCAATGATCATGGTCAGAATCAGAAACTGACCAGTGGTGAAAAAGCTAGATTTTCTATGGGTATGTCCCAGTCTGTATTACATACACAGATTATCTCAGTAACACATACAGCCTTCTCAAACTTACATGCAGACCCTCTTATCAAAAATATCAAGTAAGTTTAGAAAACAAATAACAATTTGATTATATAACAGATAAGAAAAACATCTATTACCATTAACAAAAGGGCCTAATAGTGCCCCAGTCACACTGTGCTGGTATATAGCCCTGGTGAGCTACGGTAAGGCAAACCAGGGACTCGCTACGGATATCTGTGGTAGATATATCTCGTTTACTGTTTAAACTGTTTAAAACCTCCATGGTCATCCTTAGCCGAGCCACGGTATTTTGAAAAACGGTAGTGTCACCGTAGTTCCATCGGTCTTTACGTAGGACCGCTGTAGAACTGGTGTGCAAGCCTCCGTGGCCATCCGGGGGTGACTGTTAGTGTTCAGTAGTCATGCAGACTTATGGCAGCACTAGGAGACTCATGGCGGTACTACGGTGCTATTACGACCACTGTCAACTCTGAGAGGTGCACCATGGTCTAACATGGTATGTGCTGTTTCTACTACAACTTCATTAAGGTGACACTACGATGAAGCGGTTGCTCCAGGATTTCTAAGGTGTTATTCAGCAACGAAGAACAATGTGGGTCTTAAAGAAATTTGAGACTTCCTTCTCGTTCGGTCAGTTAAAGAAAACTGATTTTGAGTTAGAAAATTATCCCAATATATATAGCCAACGAGGCATCACGTGACAAACCATAGCGTTACTACAGTGACACCATGACGGAACCAGTGATGATGTGCGCCACCTTGGCAGACTGTAGCATAACCTTGGAAACCCGGGACAAATTGTAGTCATACCTTGACAATCTGTGATGATACCGTAGTGGAACCTGTATGTATCCGGCCTATCGTGGTGGTCCGTAGTGGTATCAGAGTAGTGTCGGCATCTACAGTGACTGTGTGACTGGGACTAAACAAAAAATGTTGCCATTAAATTATTATTTTTTTCACACTAAATAATACATTTTTCAAATTTATGAAAAAGTTGCTATCCAAAAGTTTTTATTTTCATGATATTGGAAAGTAAAGTCTCTTGAAGAATAAGACTCCCTGAGACTAAATTTCTAGCTTTTTTTTCATTTAACATTTTTTTTCATAAATCAAATAAATTAAAAAGTGCATGATAAATGAAACAAAATTCTGCTTACTAATTAGTAATCAAAATTTCATACATAAAATTTCAAAAGAATTTTTGAAATAACTTGATTTGTACAATCTGGTTCTGACTTGACTTCAAGAACCTCAAACTTTAAGAAACATCAGTTCTCATTGTCAAGGTAACAAGTTATATTTGCTCAAATGAAATCATTGCATATGTCTGTAATGTAAATGGATGTAAAGTTTCACATTTTCACACTTAAGTTCTTGTAAGATTCCTGTTCATAGGGGTCTGGTGTGAGTTGAGACGGTTGTGAATGTGTGATTATCTAGAATGGCTGAGGATTTCATGCTTATTGTACTCTTCAATCCTGCGGTGACAGTCATTATATTGTACAGGGTCAAATCAAATACACTTTTACGTTGTCTATCCAGCTTTTTATTTTTATTTAATTGTTTTTCTGTTTAAAAGAGCCACATACTATATTGACATGGAGTTAAATGACTTCAGGATTAATTCTATTTTTGTTATGATAGAAAAACTTTTGATTTTGATCATCTGAATTAAATGTGAAAATATTTAAAAATAAATATGATGCCTCCTTTACTCAACTCAAGATCTACTATTGTAATTCTCATGTTATTGAGATGATTTGTACTGCAATTATTGTAGAGCCAAAATAACAGTCATTCATTTTTGTTTTTGAAGACACATGCATATAATTGTTTATTTTTTTATTTTAATTATCCGTTTCAATTTTACATTTCAATAGCACGAAATTCAGTGTCTTAAAAGTCAAATCATATGAAATTCTTGAGATTGTTTATTCACTTGCTTGGCATTTGGATGTTGTATGACACTTGTAACTGACAAGGAATCAATGTATAGGTGTTGGAGGTTCCAGGGCACTTGCGCCCAGACACACACTTTAGTCTTTATGGTTTCAAGGTGTTTTTCATTACACAGATTACATCTGCAGAGTCCAAGTGTTCCTTTCTTGATACATCTTCTGTTCACCCTAGGAACATGGCCATGACAAAATGGAAGGCCCTATGCAGCCACATTGCAGATGATTTGAGCACACTAGTCTGATATTTTTTGGTGAAAATGAAAAGAATTCCCCCTGTAGTACCATTAAAATTGACTGGTTTATAAAAGTGGATTTTAGCTTCTCTGTAATCTTCAAAAAACAGGTTTTGAAATTGGAGTGAGGCTTCTTTGTATCTTCAAATGACAGGTATGAGCCTCGTGATTGGTCCTTTGGTCAATCTGATAACTAACAAGGAGACTGTCATGACACATTCCAAGGGTGTAAACAAGATAGGATGATCAAGAGCAGAGCCCTTAGATTTTGAAAATGATAGGTTGAGGAGAACTTGTTTTGTTGAAGGAGCTTTTATATATATGCTTGACTTACTATCAGTTCCAGCTATAGGTACGGTATGGGTTGTCTCCCTTGGCTGGTGGTAATATCTGTCACTCCTTGCCATGGTGTATATAGATGTGGCAAACTTTACTAATATATTAGTTTTCTTTTTGTATTGATGAATTCATTAACATTACTTTCATTTTAGAACTAATTTTAACAGCTTTAGACTTTGTAGGTAAAGTATGGCTTAAACATGCCGGGATATATAGACGTACTCATGTTATTTATCAGACAGTAATGATTAATAGTGCTTCATGTTGAAATAACCCACCATAAGTGCCCCTTTCCCTTTTTAGGTCACCTGAGCTTTGCTCAAGTGACCTATTCCAATCACTTTCCGTCCATCATCGTCCGTCGTCCGTCGTGCATCGTGCGTAAACTTTTACATAATCAACTTCTTCTCAAGAACCAGTGGATGGAATTTTTTCAAATTTGGTCAGAATCATCCTTGGTAGATGAGGATACCAAATTGTAAAATTGGGATTCCTACCGCAACCCTAGGGGCCAGGGCGGGGCCCAAAAGGGAAAATTAACCAATATTTCAAAAATCTTCTTCTCCAGACTCAGAGGTATTACAGTCATTTTCTCTGCATGGATGGAAAGATCATCAGGGGCTTTATTTAAATTGTAAATTTCAGGACCCCCGAGCTATCCGTTCTCCCTTGGGGAGGGGGTAAAGTTTACTATAGTTTATATAGGGAAATAACACTTTTGGGTATATATTTTATCCATTTTCAGCAGAAAATTACTCAAACTTAGTCAGAATCATCTTTGGTGAATGAGAGTATTACTTTGGAAAATTGGGATTCCTGCCCCATCCCCAGGGGCTAGGGCGGGGCACCAAAGGGAACATTTACCAATATTTTCAAATTCTTATCCTTTGATGACATGACAAGTATTGTATTTCACTTAGTTTACATGCTGATTTCCACATCACATCTAAACAATAAAATAAAGCTACCAGTACCTATGATATAACTCAGGTGACTGCTAAGGCCCTTGGGCCTCTTGTTTTTGGGAGATTTGAACACCCCTCCCAGACCTGGCCAGGCACAATCAGTTAATAGTAGGTTACACTTTAAAGCAGAGGTTTATGTCTGGTGATCATGGCTGGACGGGAAGTTTCAAAGTTCAAGCCATACTGGAATATGTTTAAAATGTCTTTCAGAGATGAACATCTTGCATTTTATGTTCCTAATAATTGCCCCCCTTAAGCCAGTTTTTTTATGCGTCCTGGGCATTAATTATGGCAAATACAGTAATGCTGTATAGGATAATAATGATAAAAAACTTTTCGTTTCCATATCAGTGAAAATTGTCTTCAGATTTCAATGGACGTGTACAAAGTATAAAATTTCATATCATCATTTTTAGGTCACCTGAGCTTTAGCTCAAGTGACTTATTGCTATCCGTTTTTGTCCGTCGTCGTTCGTCGTCCGTTAACATTTTACATTTCGAACTTAAAGTCAAGTTCTGCTAGGCCGATTGAACTGAACCTTTGTAGGAATGATCGACTCATGATCCTGACAAAGGTTTTTTATTTTTCAGGTCAATCAGAAATCCAATTTGGCTGCCATGGCCGCTTTTTTGCAAATACCTATTTCAAACTTAAAAACAAGTTCTAATAGGCTGATCTCACTGAAAATCGGTCTAGGAATGATCAGCTCATGGTCCTGACAAAGTGTTTTTTCGGGTCAATCAGAAATTCAATTTGGCTGCCATGGCCGCTTTTTTGTAAATACCTATTTCAAACTTAAAAACAAGTTCTAATAGGCCGATCTCACTGAAAATCGGTCTAGGAATGATCAGCTCATGGTCCTGACAAAGTTAAGTTAACATATACTTAACTATTTTTTAATCAAATTGGTACATATTTCAACAACAAAAATAAATACTGTAGGACTCAGGTGACCATTAAGGCCCATGGGCCTCTTGTATTTATTTTCAATAAATGAATAAATTTAAGAAATTCAAATAAGTATATGGGGAAATATCATGGACATTTAATAATATGAAAATTACAAATAAGGAATTCTCAGCAGAAATACGAATGTGGCATTTGAACTAAAAGGTGCACTTCTGTGAAATGTATACCGTAAAAACCCATGTAATTTGCGCACTTTTTTTCAGAAATTTAATACCCAAAGTGGGGGGTGCGTAAAATACACAGGTACAGAAAATTTCAATTTTTTTTTCTGGAAAAGATCGACGATTCTGGGAGATCGCCATCATGGATTATCGCCCTTGGTACACGGAACTCTAAGACAAATGACGTTCAACAAATTTATTTATGTCAAACATTAATAAAAGATACACAATGTGTTGTTATCTGAGTTAATGTGAAAAGTATTATTAAATCGGTAACCGTTAACAAGGAAAGTTTAGCCAAATTCCTATGCCAGAGAATCGCCGATCAACTTA